ACAGCAAGTGTTCTTATCCACTGAGCCATAGCTCCAGCCCCTAAATTCTCAATTTTTAATTAAAAAAACTTTACTTCATTTATTATTGGTGAGAGAGAGAGAGAGAGAGAGAGAGAGAGAGAGAGAGAGGAGGGACAGGGAAGTATATGCCACCACCCATATGTGGAGGTAAGAGGACAACTTTGTGGAGTAGTTTCTTTCCTTTCACCTTTACATAGGTTCCTGGGATCGATTTCAGGTTGTCAGGCTTGGGTAGCGACTGCCTTTACCTTCTGAGCCATCTTGCTGATCCCTCAATTTTTAAAATTCCATAAATATCACTATGAGCACTTTAAAACAAACTTTTCTTTAAAGGCAAGTTTTCATTGTATAGTCCAGGCCGGTGTCAAATTCAAGATCCTTTTGCCTCTGCCACCTAAGTGCTGGGATTACAAGTGTGTGCCACCACACCTGGCTTGCATCTCCTTGATTTCTATAGAACAAATTTCTAGAAACAAAGTGAACTGTTTTAAAGTTTGATAGATTTTACCAAATTGTTTTTTTTTAATTATTTATTTTAAGTGTATGAGTGTTTTACTTGCATGTATGTAAGTGTACCCATGTTGTGCAATGTCCGCAGAGGCCAGAGAGGGTGCTGGATCCCTTGGCACTGGAGTCCCAGACAGTTGTTAGCCGACATGTAGGTGTTGGGAACAGAACCCAGGTCCTCTGCAAGAGCAAGCCAGTGCTCTTAACTACCGAACCAGTTCTATAGTCCCCAAATTGTTTTCACAGAAATTGCAAAAAACAAATGTTTCTTTCTAGCACTTAGGAGGCAGAGGCAGATGAATTCGAGGTCAGCCTGGACTACATAGCAAGTTCCAGGTCAGCTAGGGTACCTAATGACACTGTTTCAACAAAACAAAACAAAAAAAAAGCTTTCCTTAATTTCTGGACTATTGTATACCCCAAATTAAAATTCCTTTCCCATCAAGTATTCTATTTCCTTTTTTCATCATATGAATCTATACTAGGTAGAATAATGGTCCTCAAAAATGTGCAAGTCCTAATCTTTGGGATCTGCGAATATGGCACCATACACAGCAAAACAGGCTTTGCAGGTTTGATTACAGCTGGGAACAGAGATGAGAGGTTACCCTGGATGGCCCAGCTGGGCCCATTCCAGTCCCATGCATTCCTTAAGAGGGGAGCACCTTTCCAGCTTGACAAGGACCAGGAGATGTCACATGGAAATTGATGGAGAGAAGTGGCCACAGCCAGAGAACACAGGCAGCTTCTGGAGGTTGGAAAAGGCATGAAAACAGACCCCCCTGCTCCTTACTTCCAGAAAGGTATGCGGTTCCACACCTTGATACCAGCTCGGTTAGCCACATGCCACATATATGACCTATAGAATTATGAGATAATATACCATTTAATCAACTAAGCTTGTGGCCATTTGTTGTGGAAGCAACACAAAGATAGTAAGAGAATTGGGGAATAACTCAATAGTATAGCACTTGCTCAGCATACATTAAGCTCTGTGTTCCATCTCCAGCAACACACACACACACACACAGAGAGAGAGAGAGAGAGAGAGAGAGAGAGATGCTTCTAATGCTTCTAGGCAGAGTGACAGATTGGGGCTCATAGGAATTATTGTGACTTCAGAACAAAGGGCTGGCTCCATGCAGCATTGCTGAGATGAGTTCAAGTAAGACTAAGGCATCAGAAGTAGACAAAACAACACAGTCTGAATTGTGTAGCACTGTCCTAAGAGGTCACAGATGAAGTCTCATTTGCTCATGGCCACATAGTTAAGAATTAGACTCAGCCAATATGCTATTCTGCTTTCCCTGTTTTTCCTTTTCATCCTGTTTTTCTGATGCTTAGGTGACATTAGCATTGAGGCAGGAGGATTCTCTGAGCTGAGACTTGTGTGGGCTACACAGTGAGTTCTTGGCCATCCTGGTCTACAAAGTTTCCACTTGTTTTTTTAAAAAATATTTTTTTATTATTTTTATTTTATGTGTATGAGTGTATTGCATGTAGGTAAGTACGCCAGTGTCATGCAATGCCTGCAGAGGACAGAAGAGGCTGTTGAATCCCCTAGAACTGGAGTGATGGACAGTTGTTAGCTGCCATATGGGTGCTGGGATTTGAACCTGGGTCTTCTGCAAGAACAACCAGTGTTCTTAACCACTGAGCCGTCTCTCCAGCCCCCTTCATATGTCTTTAAAAAAACAAAAACAAAGCAAAACAATAGTGGGGTGTGGTGGTGCACGCTTTTAATCTTAGCACTCGGGAGGCAGAGGCAGATGGATCTCTGTGAGTTCAAGGCCAATCTAGTCTACACAGTGAGTTCTAAACTAGTCAGGGATACACAGTGAGACTCTGTCTTAAAAACCAAAAACCAAAAAAAAACAAAACAAAAACCAAACAAGCCAGGCGTGGTGGCGCACGCCTTTTATCCCAGCACTTGGGAGGCAGAGACAGGCGGATCTCTGTGAATTCAAGGCCAACCTGGTCTACATAGTGAGTTCCAGGACAGCTGGGGCTACAGGGAGCATACACATAAAATTAAAAAAAAAAAAAAAGGACATTTTCAAAAAAAAAAAAAAAAAAAAAAAAAACCCCAAACAAACAAACAAAAAACAAAAAAAACCCAAAACCAACAAAAAGCAACCCCAAAATATAAAGGATATTAGCAGCTTCTATAAGAGTCTAAAGAAGCTGGGTGGGGTGGTGCACACCACCTGTGATCTTAGATTTAGAAGCCAGAGCCAGGAGAATCATCAACCTGATCTCTTAAATAGCAAGTCCCAGGTCAGCCAGGGCTATACATCAAGACCCTGTATCAGAAAGGGGGAAAAAATTTGCAAGTATCATTTTTAGAATAAAGCATAAGAACAAATTAAATAATGAATGTTGTGCTAGAGCACTTCAGTTGTCAACTTGACACACCAGGGAAGAGGGAACCTCCACTGAGGAATTTTCTCTATTGGACTGGCCTATGGCCATATCTGTAAGGCATTTTCCTGATTGTTGGGAGAGCCCAGCCCTCTGTGGATGATGTCATCCCTGGGCAGATGGTCCTGAGTTGTATAAGAAAGCTGGCTGAGCACAGACCTAGGGAGCAAGCCAGTAAGCAGCACTCTTCCATCATCTGTACTTTGGTTCCTGCCCTGAGCTTCTGCCTTAGTTTCCCTCCATGAAGCTGAAGCTGAAGGTGGAATAAACCCTTTCCTCCCCAAGCTAGATTTGGTCAGTGTTTTATCATAGCAACAGAAAGCTAACTAGTATACAAGTAGAATCTTACACCTTGATAGAACTTTTGAAAATTTTAATTTAGAATCTAGGGCTGGCAAAATGGCTCTGCTGGTAATTGTGCTTGCTGCTAAGCCTGATGCCCTGAATTTGATCCCTGGGACTCACATGGTAGAGAGAACTGATTTCCACACACATGCAGTGGCATGTGTGCAAGCAGACACACACATACACACACACACTAAATAAATAATAAATAACTAATAAAATGTTAAGGAAACCAGGACTGGAGAGATAACTCAGTGGTTAGGAGCACTGGCTGCTCTTGTAGAAGACCTGGGTTTAATTCCCAGGACTCACATAGCAGCTAACAACCATTGGTAACTCCAGTTTCAGGGGATCCAATACCCTCTTCTGGCTTCCACAGGGTGGCATGGGTGCACTTGCATACATGCAGGCATAGCACTCACACACATAAAAATAAAAATTTTAAAATGTTGAGAAAATCTAATCCATTGCATTTCCATGGAACTTTAGCAATACTGAAGTTTACCATCTCTCATTTCAATAAAAAAATGTCCTGTGCATACCCAAATTGGGGTGTAAGAGAGCTAGCTCAGTGTTTGGCAGTACTTACTGCATTTGCAGAGGACCAGAGTTCAGGTCCCAGCACCCAAGTCAGGCAGTTGCCAGTAACTCCAGCTCAAGAGGTTCTGATGCCCTTTTCCAGCCTCTGTGGGCACCTGTGTATACATAGGCATATGCATACATACAAATAAAAATAATCTTTTAAAAATGTTTTTTCAAATATTCAAATTATAGCACCACTGATACAGTCCGCCTATTCTCATTTATTCAGATGAAAAAATTGAGAGAAGTCGTAAAAGATTCAGGGAAAAGCTGATCAAAATCTGGAGAGAGGTAAATTTTCAACAACCACTGGCATGCTGTTGAAAAATGAATGGATCCCAAGGCTCCCATGCTTTTGTGACTTCGGCGATGGAAACTACACCATTCTTTATCTGCAAAACTGACAGTGATGTACTTTTCCATATAACGTATAGATTTTAATTGCTTTTAAGGAGCACATAATATAATGAGTTTCAAAGTTTTCTTGTGACCAAACAACATATTTGAACATCTACTTAAGGCCAGTAAGATGGCTCATTGGGTTAAGGGGCTTGACACCACACCTGAATATCTCAGTTTGATCCCCAGAACTCACATTATGGAAGTTGAAGGAATTGTCTTCTGATCTCCACATACATGAGTGTGCATACACACATACATACACACACAATAAATATGAAAAATTTTAAAAAGTTAAAGAAGAAATATCTATCTTCAGTAACAGTTATAATTATAAATATTAATTTCTATGCAAGGATAATTGACCTATAATTCAGATAAATAAAAGGGAAATAAACCATTTGTGAAAGCCTAAATTACTGATTTTTCAATAAATAAAATTGTGCTATTTTTACATTATTTGGGGGGTTGAATCTGGGCTAATAAATATTGCTCAGTGCCACCAGATTCCATTTAATTATAATTGTTTCCAAGTAAATGTGTGCTAATAATTATTTTTACCTTCTTTTCACACACTAACTTGCTTGGAAACTTGAAAAGGAAGCAAACTCTCATCTGTTTGATACTTGTACAGGTATTAAAGTTCCAAATTAAATAATCATACTTCAATCATACAAAAGACTGATCATTTCATTCAAAGAGCAAACCGAGTAAAGCCCATTTACCTCAACTAGTATACCAACAAAAGGGATAGACGCCGCTTCATATTTCTCAAAGAATAACTCGGGGCTACTCTTCCAAACTCCAAGCCACTTGTCCTTCAGCCTCAGCTTTTCTGACAGGTACTTACTCAGAGCTCCAGCTGCATCTTCTGCCTAGTGAGAAGACAAAGAAGTATAAATAAATACACAAGCCTGAGGACGGCTCAGCGGGTGAAGCGCTTGCCTTGAAAGCCTGAAGATCTGTGTTCAGTTTCCATAACCCAAATAAAGGAAGGAGGGAACAGTTGTCTGCCAGCTCTTCTGACCTCCACGTGTGCTGTGACAGATGCATGCCACACACCATCCATACAGACACAAAATGATAATAGAAATCAAATTTTAAAATTGGATATGTCCTTAAAAAATAAGTACATAGGGGCTGGAGAGATGGCTCAGCGATTAAGAACACTGGTTGTGAGCTGAGCATGGTGGCGCATGCCTTTAATCCCTGCACTCAGGAGGCAGAGGCAGGCGGTTCTCTATGAGTTCGAGGCCAGCCTGGTGCCTGGTCTCCATTAGCGAATCCAGGACAGCTGAAGCTACAGGGAGACCTTGTCTCAAAAAGACAAAAAAAAAAAAACAAGAAACAAAAAACAAAACACTGGTTGTTCTTGCAGAGGACCCAGGTTTGAATCTCAGCACCCACATGGCAGCTAACAGTTGTCCCTAATTCCAGTCCCAGGGGATCCAACAGCCTCTTCTGACCTCCATGGGCACTGCACAACATGGGTGCACTTACCTACATGCAGGCAATACACGCATATACACAAAATAAAAAAATAAAATAAATAAGTACATAGAAGCATAAGTTTGTAACTTGTTTTTACTGATTTTTATTTTAAAATATAATCAATATTGCCTTAAACTGAAAAATATAGAAATTGTATAGATTTAACTGAAACTATATTTAATGAAAAATGTCATAAACATTAAAAATAAATCTGAGAGATCTCTTCACTCACCAGTGTAGTTCCGAGACACCCAATGAGTTGTGTCTTCAGATAACTTTTGGATCCACCAAGATGCGGAATGTGATGGTGGAAATCGAAAACAGTAATTATGTTAAAAATCATAGGTATTTTTTAAATGAACTTTCAAAATGATGTTCCTCATTTAAAACATATTCAGAGCCGGGCATGGTGTTGCATGCCTGTCATCCCAGCATTTAGAATGATGCAGAAGATCAGGAATTCAAGGCCAGGCTTCCCTACATAATGAATTCAAGGCCAGCCTGAAATAAACAAAAAAATCAGTAAATAAAAATTTTAAATTGCAGGGGGCGGGGGGGGGTGCTATGGGAGGGTGCCATTTGGGATTCGGGTATAAAGATGAATGTTCGGGATGTTCTGTATGAAATACACAAAAATCTATAAATTAAAAAAATAAAAATTTTAATTGCACTCCATTTCATAAAACAAATGAGTATATTAAACTTATTCAGAAAACATTTTCCCACTTGATTTTTTAAAAAATTTATTTTGATGTTACATGTAAGAGTATTTTGCCTGCATGTATATATAAATGCACCCATGCATGAAATGCCCTTAGAGTCCAGAAGAGGGTATCAGATCTCTTGGACCTAGAGTTACGGACAGTTGTTAGCTGTCATGTGGGTCCTGGGAACTGAATCCAGGTCCTCTGGAAGAATAGCCAGTACTCTTAACTGCTAAACCATCTCTTCGGCATCCCTCCCCCACATTTGATTTTTGTTGTTGTTGTTGTTGTAATTATTTGTGTGGGTTTTTGGATTTTTGCCATTTTTTTAAATGACTAATTTATTGAGAATTTCATATATGCATATAAGGTGTTTTGATCAAATTCATGCCCACTCCCTCCCCTCCAACTCCTCCCATATCTCCCCATCACTTTTTTCTGATAACTTCATGTACTCTTTCTTCTTCTTTATTTATTCTTATGGGGCTTTTGGCTACTCTAACATTCCCCCCTCTGAAGAGGTAACCCTAAAATCTTTTAAGGATTAGATACAAGCTCCCAAATACTTTCAACATTTTTGGCCTTTGGAACAGACTATATTGCTAAGAGGCCCAAGGACTTTTTGACTTTTAGCCAAGAAGCTGGCTACTTTTCTTTGGGGTCTTTTTACCCTAACTGCCTAGCCAATTCCTACCTCCTATTCTTATCACACCATCCTCTAAAGAGGTTACCCAAATTGCCAATAGGGAATCAGGGCACAGACTGCTCTGGCTTCTTCCATGCTGAACAGGGACGCAGGGTGAGGCAATTGGAGTACCCCTTCAGTGGGTCTATCTAAAAGACTCCCAAATTACATAACTCTTATCTCTAAAGGGAAAAGAAAGTCCTTGAGATGTGAAGAGGAGATATGAAGGAGAAGGCAAGAGTAATTAGCATTACAAGTTCTAGACAGGGAACAGGCAAGAATAATTAGCATTACAAGTTCTAGACGGGGAACTAGAAAAAAGTCAGAACAGGGAAAATTTCAAATGTTCCTATGAGAGCCCATTGGAATTTCTTGACAAAGGTTTCCAGAAGCATCTCTCTGTTGGGTTCCTCTTCATTTTACTTCTGTCTGCCAGGGCTGGGCTCAAGAGTGATTGATTCAGGATTTGTTTTCAGGTACTTTGATAGCTGTTGGAGTGGTTAGAATCAGTGTCAGTTCCCTCTCAAAGGCTTCAAGATAACTGAGGGGTTGCTGAGGTACATGTATGACTTGAGGGTAGGCACACTGGAAAGCCTTTACCCAGCATGGGTTATGTCTTCTCTTCCTAGCCTTCCCCAGATTGTATACTTTAGCGCTCCCCTAATCCAGTACATACAGTTGGCTGGGAAGAGTGGCTGGGTACTATGGTAAGGGGCCAAAGACCCCGCTTGGCCCTCCTTTAATGAATGAGCACAACCGTCAACAAGCCCAATTGTGACGATGTTTAGCAATCAGGCTCAGCTGAAGTAGTGATGATGGTAGTTATTTCATGCAGAAGGGACTGCTGTATAGCATCATCTTATTAAAAGGACCTGAAATTTAAAAGGATTTGGTGCCAGGATCCACATATGAGGCAGCACATACGTCGTTTCTTTTTCTGAGTTACTTCATTTAGTATAACAATTTCTAGATCCATCCATTTACCTGAAAATTTCATTATTTCATCTTTCTTTACTGCTGAATAGAATTCCATTGTGTAAATATACCACATTTTTGTTAACCACTCATCAGTTGAGGGGCACTTAGGTTGCTTCCATCTCTTAGCTATTGTGAAAAGAGCAGCAACAAACATAGTTGTACAAGTGTCTCTACAATAGGATGAGTCCTTTGGGTATTTGCCAAGGAATGGTATAACCAGATCATATGGTAGGCTCATTTTTAGTTTTTTAAGAGTTCTCCACACTGTTTTCCATAGAGGTTGCATGAGTTTGCAATCCCACCTCTACATCCTCGCCAGCATTTGGTATCATTTGTTCTCCTGATCCTAACCAGTCTGATTGGGGTAAGGTGATACCTTAGGGTGGTTTTAATTTGCATTTCCCTAATTACTAATGATGTTGAACACATTTTGAGATGTTTCTTAGCCATCCTTATTTCTTCCTTTGAGAACTCTCTGTTTAGATCTTTAGCCCATCTTTTCATTGGGTCATTTGGTTTCTTGCTTGTTTGAGTTCTTTATATATTCTGAATGTTAAACCCCTATCAGATGTGTCACTGGTGAAGATGTTTTTTTGCATTCTGTGGGTTTTCTCTTCACTTTTTTTAT